AGGAGGAGGAGGAAGAGGAAGAGGAAGAAGAAGAAGAAGAAGAAGAAAAGAAAGAAAGAAAGAAAGAAAGAAAGAAAGAAAGAAAGAAAGAAAGAAAGAAAGAAAGAAAGAAAGAAAGAAAGAAATACACACACACACACACCCAATGCTGATGGTCACAGCATTCTACCATTTTGATGAGACATAGACAAACACCCTTGCCTCCAGATTCATGTTGTCTCTGATTACCATGGAGTCATTAACCTTGGCAGGGAGGATGTTTCTTGAAGGAAGGTGAAAATGTGTACACTATTGTTGCGAGCCGTTCTGCTGCTCCGGTCCATGGGTCAGGAGGCAAGAAAGAGAGTGGAGACAAGACGAAGTCTGGTCGAAGATGAAGTCTGCCTGCTGGAGATGGAGCCTGAGTCTGTCTGCTCTCTGTCGACTCTGTCTAGTCTAAGTCTGTCTGGAGACGACGTCTGTCTGCTCTGACTAGTCTGTCTGCTCTCTGCCTCTGACTCTCCATCGAGTCTGTCTAGCTCTCTGTCGAGTCTGACTAGCTCTGACTCTGGGTCTGCCCTGGCCTCTCCTTTTATATCTCTCCTGAGTCAATCACGTGCTGGGATTAAAGGCCTGTGCTACCACTGCCTGACCTTGACTGAAAGGATCAAGATAATTATCAGAGTGTGTTCAGCTGTTGTAAACAAGTCTCTTCTCAGGGTATATGGCTCAAAATGGCTGCAAAGATAATAGCCGCTTTCGGCTCAGAGTCGGCTCCCAACACACTATTATACAAACAAGCCTTATGCCCACAACAACCATCAACATTCATGATGGCCCCACTCCTGCTGACTCTTTTCTAAGGACAGGAAACCATGTCATACTGTCCTTTACATATCCAAGCAGGACTCAACACTACATTTCATAGGTGGCATGGAACAAGGGAGAGGAAGAGGTTTTCTCTCCCTCATCTGAGCCAACTCACAGCAGAAAAAAGAGTCACTGTGGGCTTTCCTGCACTCATGCCCTCAAGGCCTGCTCACCTACAATCCCCACATCTAGGGCCAGCTCTACTATGATGCCCAAGTGAGGTACATGGATTATTCTCCAGAGTGCTGCAGGAGCAGGTGAGGAGCAGGGCCAGCTCTCCTGCCTGTGGAAAGTAGCAAGTGGCCAGACAGTAGGACATCTTTCCCTTACCCATGTCACCACACGGTAGACAAGGAAGTGGAGGAGGCCAGCTCAACTTACCTTGGGCTTGGTCATCCATGTCTCTATGACCAGAGACAGTTCAACTTTGCTGCCCAAGTGAAGTCCAGTGCCTGTTCTCACAACTGCTGTAGCTGGTAAAGGGCAGGACAAACTCTCCTGTTCTTGGCACCCTAGAGCTAGGTCTTCACCTGCTGCAAGTGGTAAGGGGCAAGGATGGACAAGGGTATAGCTACCTCATCCATGCCACCACACAGGAGACCAATTGCAGGTCCAGCTCCCCCATGTTCATATCCTTGGTGTCTGCTCACCTGCAACTTCCACATTATACCAGATTCTGCAGTTAGCTAGGAGTGGGGTCAGCAGTCCTGTTCTCATGCCCCAAGCCTAGCTCTTCCACAGTGATTAGGCTAGGGGTCCGGACAGTTTTCCACAGCCCTTAGATAGATATCAGCATGGCCCCTGGCAAGAGACCAAATGAGGGAAGTTCAAGTGGTCTTTGGTAGTAAGAGACCCATATCACTGCAGGGCCACAGACCTAGACATGCCCGTCCCCAATCAGTGGCAGCACAGACCAGAATCCACTCCACCAGGGTCCCAGGTGGCATCACTGGCAGCTCACATCAGGATGTTCCTCTCTACCCTCGAGTCTCTAGCTCTGCCTCTCTTCATCGTGACCAGATCATTCTGCTTCTCTTCCTCTTTCATTTCTCCACCATTCACTTGCTTCTCTAAGGAGTTCCCGGAGTCTCATAGTCTCTGGGGTTTACTCAAGAGTGCTATGCCTTGATTGCACATTTGGCTCCAGGCAAGGGTCATCTCAGGCACGGTATGCCTCACCCCCTGACCCCTCAGGCCTGTATGGTGCTGGGCTGTTGATCATCTCAGGCTAGCTCCCTGTACTGGCCCATGACGCTGGTCTAGTGGTCGTCTCAGGCTTGTTCCTTGACTGAGCCTGCCTGAGAGGTCCCATGGAAGGGTCCTTTCTTTTGGTTTCTCTCTAGCCTGGGGCCCTTGGTCTCAGGAGGGATTCTTCTAGTCTCTGGTTCATTCCCCACCCTGGGATCCCAACCCGACCTTATACAGCACATTACCTCAGGCTTGATTTTTTTTTTCCAGAGAATGTTAGACTAATCATTCTGATGGTCACAGGTCAGAACACTGAGCACAGATAGACATAGCTTCTTTCTTCTCTGCCACCTATTGACACACATGTGACACAGCAGTCATACCTGCAATGTCTCTAAGGGCAAGGGCAATGTTTAGGCTTTTTTTTTTTTTAATTTAAGATAGATTTTAAACCTACTCAAAATGAGATCTCGTTTAGGAAATTATTAAAAAACTTACACCCAAACATTTAATAATTTCTCTTAAAATATGACCAGAGAGTATTAAGGTGATATTTGTGACTGTCAAAATTATATTAGTTGCATCTGTTATAACGTAAAGATTTCTTGAAGATAAAACACTAATTTACAATTGAAATTCCCATTTCTTACAGACAACTAAGATGTTGCTTGGTTTGTCTCTACTTCTCTAGTTGTCCAGTCTTTTTGGAAGAACTTTTGAAATATTATACTTGTTTGAATTAGAGTTCTTTTTTTCCCCCAATAATTAGAAGATGTCCTCTGAAGTTTGTGGTTTTGTTTTCTGAGATTTTCTGGCATCACATTTCTGAAGATGGTATTAAATTCATTATCTGCACATAGAAACAACACTACTGAATAAGTGCATGGTATATAAATGTCTTTTTGAGATTATAATACATTGTAACCATTCCCACTTCTCATCCTCCCTCTAAACTTTACCACATAGCCCTCCTTGATCTCAAATCCACAGATTCTTTGCTCTTAGACTGTTACTGCCTAGCTTTACAGAACTGTAGATAGTAGTAGTAGATGCTCCATTTGAAAAAAAATCATAAGAATAACCTGCCAGTTCATTGAAAGTCCTGGTATCACTGCCTGAGTTCTATGTGCTACAAGAAATCCCTTTAGATTTAAGAAACACTTACACAAATTGTGCTTTCAAAAGACTTTCTGCAAAAGTGTAGCTAGTACCTAAAACTCACAAAGAACCGATAGTGCCCTAGACTCCTCCCAGAGTTTGAAACTGAGAAGTCTTCTCTGTAAAAGGTGGAATTTCTCTTGGAAAAAGAAGAAATGAACACACGGTTCTAACTTTGATTAAATTGCTGTCAAACTCACAACTTCTTTCTTTTAACCTATCCCTGGATCTTAAAAAGGCAAAGATAAGTGAAGTAAAATATATATACTCAGGATCTTGTCTTGAAATTCTTGAAATAAGATGGACAGACCTGAAAATAAGGATAAAAACATATTGAGAATTCATAGACCAAACTCTGGCTGTGTCCTGGGAGTATGTGACCTGGCTGGCAAAGCAGAAATATAATATACAAAGATGAAAAACTGCTCCACAGATAAATCAAGGCTTTAAAACCAAGTGTGATAAAGTTTGTGGAATATTGTATTGGGTGGCTCCTCCTCCCCATCTCTATTGAAGAGGACATTAATCCCTCAAAGAGAACATTGCCAACACTTCAAAAATCCAATTTGTGAACAACATTTGAGTGTCTAGGAATGCACATTTATAATCTTAACAACCTAGTCACACTAAAGTCAGAGAAAATTGTCATTCATTTTCACCTATCAGAGGTTGTCATACCTTGGAAAGAAAATTAACATCAGAAAGAAAGGAATTTCTCTGAAAAATGAAAGGAAGAGTGGTAAAGGATATAGACGCTCTGTTCCCTAGACAATAGTGTTTAGATTGCTGGTACTAAGGCAAAGTGCACCTTAATCTTTTGGTTGGAGGATGTACTAATGGGTCTTTTGTGATCTTTATTAAACACTTAAGGATATTGAGATGACAGGCTGCCAAGACAAACAGTATGGCAGGTAGAAAACCTCAAAAGCAAAACTATACATCTTGAGTATGAGTCAAAGTTAAAGGGTGGATCACCTAGATTGCGCTCCATTCATCAATTTATAAATTTAAATATGTAATTAAGTCTGATATATCTTTATAGATAATCAATTATACCACTATTTTTCTACCTATAAAATGATAATATCAGTTGCTTTACTACAATGAAGAATAACTGGGAAATATAAGTTGGTAGCTGTCTGATTAACACAAGCTATGTCTATCTTGAACAGTTTATACTGATACTACTGCTACTGTAACCATCACGGTTATCACTAATAAATTGATGATAATATTTTCTGTCATTATTGATACTTTTTTTGCATATACATTAGCATTTCCTTTTGTTTGATCATTATGTCCATTAAAAACCTAACTAAGAATATTTTAAAACAGTATTTCAATTTTGATATAGTAACTTATGTTGTTTTGTTTTTTTTAATCTCTCTATAAACGCTATCAGGTAAGTAAATGCTTACAGAGATATAGCTCCCATTTAAAAAAAAAAGAGTTGTTGCTTTTAATTTTTTCTTTTAAAATTGTTGCTTTTCATTTCATTGAAACTATCCAGGAATTCTCTTGAGAGATGTCTTTCTGATGCCTGTATTGGTAGATAGAGAGAGAATCGATAGTAATGAAGATATAGCTTATTTGGCTAGAAAATCTTCCAGTTGGATACAGTATATTTTGTTGAGAATTCAAAGAAGTAATTTCCCTTGCCTTTCCTGGATATGCAGTGTGAGCATTCACTCTGTATAAGGCATTTGGACACATGTGATGAATACAGTCTGCATGACAGGCTGATGACAGGAAGTATGCCCTACATTAACGATTCCATGTGATATTTAAAAATACCTTGAAGTCAATTTAAATGGAAGCTGGGGGAATTATTTAAAGTTGAAAAATAAAATGGCAAGTATTACATCCACGGAATTGGACCAAGAACCTAAACAACCAAGCCAAGGTACATTTTGATTTCTTCGTAGAGATCTCCCCCTCCCTTTAATGTCTGTCTTGGTGTTTAGATATTATTGAGCACCACTCTCATGATGGTCATGCCTGTGGATGGGCACCCCACAGTCCCTGACTTCACAATTTATAATTCTGACTATGCGTGGTGAGTCCCAGAGTGTCCATGAATCTCAATCCAGAATTCTCCTGAGACACAATAAGATTGGCTCACCAGGAGGCAGTGGCCTGTCTCTCCCTGATTAATTGTGATCAAAGTGACAGTGTCATATAGTACAACAGCATTTAATCCCTGGAGGGAAAGAGGTCATTTTGAAATGGAAAAAGCACTCTAAAGTGGACCTATATCATCTTGTGTTATGCTTGAGGCTGACTACCCAATGGGTTAGCCAGCCACTTTCCAGAAACCGTGCCCATGTCGTATTATTTCCAATGTATGGCTCTCTTCAGAATGTGCCCTATGACCAAACTGAACTTTCCGCCACAGGCTGATAACTGCTTGGATTTTTTTTTTCTGTTCCACACAAATTGCATTGAGCAAAAGCAAATGGAAAAAGGAAAGTAAATTTTCTTGCTGTGCTTTGAGTCTTGCCATTTTCTAAGTGTGCTTTATAGATACTGATGTACAAAGTCATGGATCTTTCACAAATAGAACTTGGGTCCGCTTGTTTCATACCCTCCCCTACCCAAAACTTCAACTGATTTGATTATCCCCGAGAGCTGAGTCACTTAGAAGTATGAAGGTTTACTGGGGCTAATTTCAGTCTGCAAGATTCATAGACCCGTAAAGGAACACAAGCTGTAATAGTCAGCTTGCTGATGGATGGGTGTGCAAAATATTGTCTTCATTGGTTCAATGAATGTAGAGGCAACGGGAGTTAGAATTGGCGTAGACTCCAATTACAATCATTAGGCATCCATTAACACCTTCAGGACTTACTGTGCATCTTTTAAATATCTTCTATCCTTTCCTTAATTCAATACTCTCCCGTCTACATAGTTTAATATCTACAGTTATGATGAAACTGGTTTAAACTGGGTGAAGCAAGGTAAGCTTCAAGTTTACGTCAAAATATGAGAGCCTGAGAAAATTAACAATAATTATTCAAGTGGTTTAGAACAAAGTTTAAGTGCAGCTTTTGGCTTCTAATTACACTCACATTTAAGCACCAAGGGCATTGTTTTTGGCTTTTATATACAACAGTGATTTTAGTTTTTAATACGCAGTAGTTGACTATACAGTAATAAGCTGACTATTGCTAAACAGGATTATCCTCTTAACAAATGTTAACATTTTTGATGAAGAAGCTAAGAAAGAGGATGAGATGATGCTACAAAAATAAAAGAAATACTCAGATATGAGAGTTGCAGTGATTCAGAATTTAATTTATACCTAACTGTAAAGCCAGCATATTATATATGAAACAGTTTAAAAATAAAATTATTTGCTTAAGAAAACTACCTTTGTGTATTAAAAGAACAATCATGTGTATGTTTATCATGGATATTTCAGTGATAAATAAATTGGCAATTTAACAGAAAGCATTGTTGTCTAGTTACCCATAAATTCATCTTTAAATACTGATGATGTAGAAATCTCATATCAAGTGGGCAAATTGTATCTAAAAAAAAAAATGTTAAAATTCTGTAACATTGTTAAAGTGAGGAGACTACAAAGAGGTCCCTCAGTTGGTAAAGGCACTGCATATTGATGTTAAAGATTTCACAGAAAATTAATGTCTATTACTGTTTAGTCTATAGCTTTAAGTTTTGTTATTGTATGTATTGCTGTGTGATTGTGTGTGTATGTGTGTGTGTGAGAGTGTGTGTCTGTGTGTGTAATGTATATTTTAAATATACATTCTATGGTGCATATGAAAGTACATACTCTATGCTCTACATGTGGACATCAATTCTCTGTTTTGACACCATTAGATTCCTGTGTTTTAATGTCATTTGAATTCTCCATATTAAATACAGAACATGCCAATTAGTTACATAGTACACATATAATCACTAAGCTGTTATAGTTCTCTCAATGTAGAAACATCCCACCCATACTTAAGTGTGTTGTGGAGCTTTAGGGAGAATTCTACCACCATCATCTCTTCCACTCTCTCCCTCTCTCCCCATCCATTTCTCTTCTCCCCTACGCTGTGTCTGCATCTCTCCTCCCCTCTCTCTGTTCTGTCCTTAACAATTTATTACAAGAAGATGTAATAACAAGGGTTTGTTCCCAGCTCTCCAATGTCATTTATGCCTGCCTTCACTCTGAACTAGATAGGTCTTACTCCTAACTCATTTTTACCTAACCTGAGGACTCTTTCCATCCCTTCTCC